GGCCGCCCAGCCCCCCACCACCCTTCAGAGCATGTCACTGCCGCTGAGCCAGCGCCGTGCTGGGACGCTGAGACGGCACACGCAGCAGCCTGCATGCAAACGCTGTCTTCTCCCACTGACTGGCTGGGGAACTGCTTGGGGAGGAAGGTGGGGAGGGTTGTTGGGCCCCTGGCGGCCCCCCCCCCCCTTCCCCGGTCGGCGTACAGCACAAGGGGAGCGGAGGGTCCCCACCCCAGGCCGTGGGCTTGTCACTTATAGAAATTAGACAGCTGTTAGGATTCCTGTTTCTTAACCGCGCTTTGATTTTTAGGGCTTCAGCCCTGTTTTTCCCTATAGGGTCTAGAGTGCTTGTGTTGAGTAAAAGGGAGAAGCCCAAACGTTCAAAGCTGCTAAATGTTCTCTTTGCCATAAAGATTCAGTGTAACCGTGTGATCACATTATAGGATTCTCTTCTGTCCCTAGGTGTTGGTCTGACTTCCTTTGTTTTCAGGAGGGGGGTGGGGGTAGTGCCTTGATCACTGTCGGTCTCCGCCACGGAGACCATCCTAGAAGCTGTATTTACAATATAGCACAGCTGGGAGTGTACTGACTTTACCAGCAACTGAAAAAGCTTAAAAATGGCTTTTCCTAGCCAGTCCTGTGCATGTGATACGGGGTGAGGGCGGCGCGTCGGAGGGAAGACTCGGGGTGGTAACTCAAGGGAAGGAAACCTGGTAATGCCGGAGGGAGGCCTGGAGCTGCTGAGAGGGAAGATGTCTGGTCATAGGCACGTTTTCCGGGCTATGGGAAAAGTAGTTGGATCTCGGAGCGCATTGCGGGGTGTTCGGTGGGTTCGCTGCAGCCCCGAACAGCGTGAGACGGACTCACCGAGACCCCAGCAGGCTCTCCCATCCTGGAGTCCTGAGATTCAACGGCTTTACTTACGCATGAGATGAAGCACAAGTGGTGGAGATGTGGGTGTGGGGAGGTTGGAAGGGAGCCCTGCGTGTATGTTTTAAATTATTTTCCTCTTAGAAACTTTATTTTAATGATCTGTGACCTGTCAGGGAAAGAAGAGAGATTGTGTGAGCACAGGACAAAAATAAAACGGCTTATTCACTGTACAAGCATTTGTTTCATGGAATTTTTTTTATTTTTGTAAAAGATTAAGCGTGTCGGGGAAACAAAACAGCCTCCTCTTGTGGGTCCTTCTCACCCACGGTAGCTCCTGGCTCTCTTCTGCTGTGCTGAGCTCAGAACAGGTCTGGTTTGCCTCCAGCAATGGTCTGGGGAGGGAGTCGCTGTCATCCCAGCCTGCAGGTAACAGGCTTGGAGGGGAGGAAAATGAAAGGCTCCTCGCTTGTGGGAAACAGTCAGCTCTGGCTTAGCTGCTTTTTTTCCTTGCTTCACAACAGTATCTTCTGAAAGAAAGCTGAGGAAAAGTGTGTTTCTAGTTAAATGTGCAGCTGCGTGGTGCAAGTTGTGCGTCCCTCGGACAAAGCCACCAAAGCTGGTGTAGTTCAAAGGCCGGGGCCCAGCTGGGTGCAGTGTGTGGCCGCGGGTCAGAGCTGCCTTGGCACAGCCTGATCCCTCTCCTTGGCGTTTCGACTCCTGGAGCCGGAGCGCGGTGTCCTGCTTTCCTGTTGGGTGAGCAAATGGCATCGGCGCAGCTCGAAACCTCCCTTCCCTCTTGCAGCTCCAGCCAGCCCTGCTGCTGTTACACAAGCCCCACCTTCCCCACAGGTTTCAGCTGTAGCGTTGGTTACGGAGCCAAAGTTTATTCAATCATGAGTGTATTTATATCAGGCTCTGCAGGCCAGCTCCTGTCCTGTCCCCCTCCCTGCAGGATGAGGCCCAGGCAGGCCCAGGAGGAGCAAGGAGACCGAGCCCTTCGTCTCCGTGTCTGGAGGAATACGCTTTTCCAGCACCTCGGTCTTGCCACGGAGCCGACAGAGGGGCATCGCTGACCCCTCGGCTCAGCTTTTCCCTGTGCCGTGGCCGTCCCCACCTCGCTGCCTGTTTAGGCTGCTGGTGGTGGGAAGGTCTGGCTGCAAAGCCGGTGGGCAGCTGCCAGGCTGGTGGTGGCTCCAGCCCCTGGTTTAGCAGCTCTGTTCCCCAGGCAGAGCTCGGTTCGTGTCCAGCCGGGCTCAAGGGCAGGCCCTGACTTCATTGCTGTTTTCCGTGAAGGGTTTTGTGCTGCCAGGGTGCAGGCAGGAACCCAGACCCTGCAGAAGATGACACGTGCAGCTCCGATGAGTGAACTGGGGATGGAAAACTGCTCCTGGGAACTGCTGATGCACCAGCAAGAGACTGGGCTGGTGCTGAATCGTTGCACTTGGAAGTAGCATTTTGGGATGCCTTCCTGGTGGCTCAGCATCATATCATCTCTATATATCTTTTAGTTATAGCCGCCTTTCTGTAAGGCTTTAATACCCACAACCTTATTGGCACTGCTGCTTGTAGGCGCTGTGTTTTCTCAACTGGCGTCATTATTACGTAGCAGTTCCTGCACCCCTACACTGAGTACGCAACAGAGCCTATCACTAAAAGCCAGGACATCTGGGTGAGATGCTACTGTGGGGGCCTCAAAGCCTTCTGTCCACCAGCCTTGGCCAGATACAACCAGAAAACCAAGTAGAAAGCGCGCTGCCGGCCCCGCTCTGCTCCCCGATGGTCTTCTACCGGGGTTCCCCATGGGGCAAATGTCATTTCCCTGGAGACTAAACCGCTCCTTATGGGACTGGAAGAGTTTGTCTACTCCTGCTGCCAGAGTTGAGCCCAAGCCAGCTCTACGCATGGCAACAGCGCAGCCAAGGGGAACGTGAAGCATTAAAATACACACTCTGAGGTGCTTCCTGTCTCTCTTCCTGGGCTCTAGGGTATTTATTTCAGATATTCCTTCAGGGCCTGTTTTAGAATGTAATACCGGCTTGCAAATAAAACCTGCAAGGATTTCCCCCACCCCAGTGATGCTCTGAGAAGGTTACAGCCCTCCCTGTGGGGTCCAGAGAACGCATGGACACAGGAGGGGAAGATGCACTGCTCTACCCAGGTTCCAGTCTCCCTTTGCTGCCTGCCCCCCACCACAGAACAGGACCTTTTACTTCGTGTCTCCGCTCCTACACCCACACACATCCTTGCTCATGCACAAACATACCAGCAAACCCCCATCTCCCTGTCAGGGAGGCTCCAGGTGAGGAAAGCACCGTTCCCCAGCCTCCGGTACGGCTTCAGAGCAAGCAAGCCCAAGCTAAGAACAAGCCTGACAAAATCCATTCAGCTCTGGCTCCCTGCCCGTGCCCGTCACATCCCGTGCGGGGCAGCTGGGCACCGGCCTTTTGCAGGTAGCGAGGAGGGACAGGAGCTTAACCAGCTCTGCACCTCCGCTGCTGTCACTCGCATGTCATGCCATGCGCTGTCAGAGGCGCAGGCTGCCTGCCAGCCCGTAATCAGGTGAAGTGCAGACCTTTCATTTTCCGAAGCAGGAAGCACTTAGCCACCAGCGGGGCCTCGTGCCTCTGATCTCGGCGAGAGCCGTGGCTCAGCGGCCCTTTGAACCAGTGTCCGGCTGCCGCCCGAGCCCTCAGCGTGGCAGTCAGGCAGCTTCATGCTGGTGTGCTTGCTTTCCCGGGACAGACCCTGGTTTCTGCCAGCCTCTGCTGTGGTGCGGGGGGGGGACAAAGAAACTGCCTCTGCCTCTGCCTTGCCCCGCTTCTGGCAGCCCAGGGCAGCAGTGAGCTCCAGGAAGACACCCTCATCATCAACCGCACATCTCTGAGCCTGTTAGGAGGGCTGGGAGACTATTTCCCCGTGCCTCGGTTTCTTGAGAGGTGACCCGTCCCGCTTACAGAGTGCCACAGCCAGAGATAACCGGTACCCAGAGATCTGGTGCCTGCCAGCAGCTCACACGGGAGCCCCATGTACTCGGTGCGGCCACAGTCCCACCCCCAGGATGGAGCAATGTGCATCTTCAGCTACCTGCTGCGATCGATCGCCCCAGAGCCTCCCTAGGGAACCACAGCCTTCTTACGTTCAATTAAGTGGACGTTACCCCTTCCATCTCTAGTGATTAATACAGGTTTAATTGCTGCTTCTGCTGGCTGCTGGGGCAGGGCAGATATTTCACCGTCCCGCTGGGTATAGGCTGTGCTGTTGCGAATAACCTGGATTTCAACTGGCTGCGTAGTTTTGCAGCCCTGAGTGCCAGCGAGGGGCTGGTGTAGCCCCTGTTCAGCCCTGAACACCACACAAAAACTCCCTGCCTCTCCCTGCTCCATCCTGTGCCCTGCAAAAACCAGAAACCTCTGAGCCAGGAACCACAATCCTCCTCCCTGGAATGCTTCAGCCCACTCTGCTGTCCACAGAACTGCGTGGAGTGTCAGCTGGGCTGAGCAGAGGAGGACAGGTTATTCTCCATGCACAGGAGCCTGTGGCCTCCAGCAAGGCTGTATCAGGAATAAAGCAAGGCCATCTCCACCTTCAGCCAAACAGTCACCAGAACCATTGCCAGAGCTTTAAAAATCCATCCGTAAACCCAAAGCGACAAAGTCTGCTCAATGTTCAGATGAGAATTGAAGTAAAGGTCACTTACCCCACCTCTGGTGCTGGATCCTGGCTAGGAACACACGCAGTGCACGCTCCCTGCTCAAGCAGCATCTTGCTACATCAAACGAGGTCCCAAATCACAGCTAGTCCTCTTGTCTCCAGGGGCGAGACTTGACTCAGGCCTCTAGACACTAACCTCTACGACACCTCTTCTCCAGATGGAAGTCAACATAAATCAGAACCCGCTGTCAGCTGCTCCAAAGCTCCTGCTGCTGTCGACACCCAGATCGGAGCCACCGGCTAACCTGGGCTGCATCAGAGCTAACCTTGCTCAGAGAGAACCACAACCGCAGGCTAACTTCCCTCCGTGACCTGCTCTACACCTCGTCACTCATCTCATGGACAAAGAGCTGGAGGAAGGAGCAAGGTAGAGAAGAAAAAGATCAGGATTATAAA